CGCCTAGCTTGGCTATGCCTAGAAACGGTACTGTGTGTTCCCATGAGTGGCCGTGCCAAATCCACCATAAACATACATTTTAATTCTATATCATACATCCATCTGCACATTAAAGTAGTTGGAAGGAAGAAATACAGAAGATACATTTTTACCCAGTAATTATCTTCCCTTACATGGCAGCACAAATGCTCTTTGAGAACAGAGACGATATGGAGCTAATAACATTCTGAGAAAAGATCTTTCTTGATTAAATGAATGTATTCCAATGAAAACCATACCAGCAAATGTTCCCTTAATGTTAGCATTTGGTTCCTGTTTGAGTGTTTGGAATAACATTTTTTCAAAACCATTAAATATTGTTCACAGAACAGTGCAGGTAATTTTTCTTTTTTTGAAGCATCCTAAACTATCGCAAAATTTTCCTGGATGGTTACTTTGCCTTGTAAAAAAAAAAAAAATTGTTTGTTGCAACAATCTATAGAGAGAATATTAAGGTTATGCAGTGTTTTATCTTTACACTTGATTACTTGATTCAATTTCTCTAGTATTTCTTGCCGTAGTCTTCAATAGGCATGAAACCATTTATTTACATTAGTTAGTAAAGGTCTAGTATTACTTATGACCCATAAACATAGTAAGGACTTTGATAAAATAGTGACATCAGGGGTTCAACCGTAATTTTACTAAGCTACGAGAATAATTTTTGTGAGCAAAGAAAACAAAAATAATGACTTTATCCTCACCTCCAAATCATGTCTTCTGCATTTGGTTCAGAAACATTTGCTGCACTTGCATTTTTTTTGCATTGTATTCGTGAGCTTTTAGACTAAATAGATTTTTTTTAAATCCTTCCTGCACTATTTGTAGATAAACTTTGCATGAAGTCTTCTCTCTTCTGCGTTACGAAAAGCTGCTGTCGCATTTCTCGCAACTGAAGTCTTTCTGCTCAGTTTGTTTTCTCACAATTCTCACTAAATTTCTTCGTGGGACAAATGTTTTCTCACAGGTGATGCAGGAAAAACTCTTGGCCTTCAGCTGATCTTTTGATGTCGAGGCCGTTTCTCCATCACAAAATTAACCACCGCTGACATCTGAAATGGAACAAAATGTTAATAAAACGTAGTACTTCGCAATATTCTCAAAAAGAGTTTGTGAATCATTTACGTATCCTACCTCTGCCGGCATCTGACGCTGTTACGCCACCACCTTTGTAAGTATTGCTACTGGAAATGGTGCCAGATGCACCTATGCATACCGAAAGGATTGTTAACCTTACACTTAAGGCTTGGAGAGAGGTACTGGTGGTATATGCTGCATGATGCACACCCTGGCATCGTACACATGAAGGGACTTGCAAGGAGTTAAAATCTTCTTGGGGCACGATGCTCTCGTGGTACAAGATGGTCCTGGCTGCATATTGACTTTGTGGGCCCTTTCCAAGGCAAAATATTTCTCATAGTTGTTGATGCACACAGCAAGTGGCTAGAAGTGTCTCTGATGAGTTCCATGTCATCACCAGCAGTTATTAACACACTGAGACTGCTTTTTGCAACACATGGGTTGCCCGATAGTCATAGTTTCAGGCAATGGTGCTACTTTCACATCCACAGAGTTCCAAGAGTTTGCCGAGCGCAATGGCATTCGTCACGTCACTACAGCACCTTATCAACCGAGCTGGATGGCTCAAGCTGAACGCATGGTACAGACAACCAAGGAGGCCCCATCTCGCATCACCAAGGGCGAGTGGCAGACCCGACTTGCTCGTTTCGTACATGAGAAGTTACAGCAGGGATTCTAATGGCGCTTTTCCACTGCATGGTACGGCACGGTATGGCTTGGTATGGTTCACTTTTTGGGGGTTTTCCACTGGGTACAGTACCTGGTACCTGGTACTTTTTTTAGTACCACCTCGGTTGGGGTTCCAAGTGAACCGTACCGTTACCAAAACGTGATGTGTAAACTCTGCTGATCACGGATTGGCCGGAGAGAATCGTCACTACCTGCGTCACTGAACTTGCGACACAAACACAAAAGAACCGCTAGATTTAAATCAGCACAGCCAGCGAAGAATCGAACGCAACTGTTTTGAACGAGCGCACCTTTTTTTAACAACCAAAAAGTTTCGTTGTCTGCTGGGAAAAACAGACGTTCCTCTCGTTGTTAGCAGAGGAGCGGATCCAGCAAGAGCTTGATGGGGCGACGCGGAATGAAAAAGTTTTTTTTAGAAGTCGTGATAGTAGTGGCGGCGCAACTATAACGGCATGTGAATAATCCCGCCCACTCTAAAGTGGTACTGAACTGCAGTGGAAACGCAAACCATGCCGAGCTGAACCGTGCCGTGCCGTACTGAGCCGAGTCGTACCACGCAGTGGAAAAGCGCCATAAGTTGATTCCTTGGGCCATCTTTGATGGTACCCTCAGTGGACCCATCAAACCCCGAGCCAGTTTGCTACACTGTCTCTCTACCCGCAGGGGCTGACATACTTGAGTTACAGCCGCCCACAATAGAGATGGAAAACACTGGTGAGGAGCTTGCTGGGGCTGAGGGCATGTCAGAGTCCCCTCCTTCTAGGAGGTACCCAGAGAGCATCGTCCCCCAAGAAGAATTTCAGACTTTGTGGACTGGGAGAAAGGGGTGTAATGTATTGGCTAAATATATTGCAATAGTGAGGTTCCTTTAAGTGGGCTAAAGACTGGGAGGGGAGTTACTAGTTTTCCCCGAGGGGAAGTGGTGTGTTATGTAGGCTTGCCGCGATAGATGGTGCTGACGGTGATACCGGTGTTAAGCCGCAACACCGGTTACGTCACTTGCCCACCGTGGCACCGACCCCCACTGTCATTTTGATTTTTTATAGAAATAAAAATAATTTAGTTCAGTGAAAAAAAAAAAGACACTAAAATTAAAAACTGAACGCGGCTGCTCAATGCAGTTGAACGACAGTTGCATCACAGATCAGATTTCATTTCTCCAGTGAGGAGAGTGAGTCGAGCTGACTGACAAGAAGAGTGAGGTGAGACAGACAAGACGATCGCAGATGATTTAGTTTCGAAACGAGATGCAAAAGCGCCTGTTTGGCAGTATTTTGGATTTTGAAAAGCCTGGTGACTTTTGCCGTTTATCTAAGGTGATTTTGGAAGTTTATTTTAAACATTCGTTTCTTATTTAATTGGTTCCACATTATTTGCTGATTTTTACTTTATTTAAACTTTGTGTCAACTTTGACGCCGACCTGCCGCTAATTCGAAAGTGAAAGTAAAATGCGCACGGCGCTTTTAAGCTATTTAAAAGCGAAGGAAAGAGAGGAAAAGAGGGAACGCCCCGCCCCCGCGGTGATACCGGTATTGTCACGCGTCGATTAACCGGTGGGAAAATTTCCTCACCGTCACAACCCTAGTGTTATGCAGACTGTTCTAGGTGCTAACTGAAGATGTATGTCCTGCTCTGTGTTGTATCGTGTTCAGTAAAAATTTAGATTACAACAGCCTCCTCCTGTCATTCAAGTATCTTACACACATGACGGTACCACCATGGCAGATGAAGTACATCTAAATTTCATTCATACGATCCTTATTCATAATATAATACAGCATACTTTGTCGCTAAGCTAGTTCAAATTCAAATGTACTACCTACTCAGACAGAATGTGATTTCAGATGCACAGTTAGGATGCCTGGAGACTTTGCAAATATGACTGAGTAAACAAACTGGACTTTGGCTCTCTAATGCAAATTAAAGTTAATAACAGTCATGTCTAGCCATGATGTAGCAATATTAAAATACTGCTAAAAGAAGCTGTGACCGTTTTTGTGTTCACATGAGGTCAATACTCCAAATACACATACACTTTAATTCTATCTGACATTACAGTGAAGTTAAAGTAGTTGCCACAAAACAATTTTTAATTTCTATCCAGTAAATATCTTACCTTACATGGCAGCATACATGCTATGTAAGAACAGTGATGAAATGGATAATTAATAAACCATGGCTCTTTTGAATCCCTCCCAGCAATGAAAAAAAAAAACAGAGTGCAATTGCCAGTGACTCTCTCACTCTTTACGCCATTTCATCACATAAAATATGATTAACAGCCTTATGTAATCCAGGTACTTATATTATTGTAGTATTTTATTTTGAGGATTTTTAATAGTTCTGTCTGGTTTAATATAAAAATCATTGCTCTACTCCAGTGGTCACCAACCTTTTTAGGCCCAAGATCCCTGACCTCGACCTTTATGAAAGACAAGATCTACCTATTGAAGAATTGATAGAAAAAGACATCCCAGATTGTACTTCAAATTTGATGCCTTTTACTTAGTATTTTAATTAGTGATGCGCCGATCATAGCTGATTCAGAATTCAGATTTTCTTTTCT